CCTTCACTCATTTTGTATATATACACATTTCCTTTGTTGGTTCGGCGTTCTGTTCGCTCGTTATCTGTTGTTGGTGGTCTTCGGATCTGGATACGGATACGTGTCGAGACTTTCGCGTGGAGTTGACTAAGTCAGCGTCAAGCCGGAAGCGTCTTGGCACGTTGACGTTGATTTATGCTTTTATACGGTAGTACGCCCGCTGCCCAATTAGAAGGCGCCGCCGGCCACTAGGCTTAGATGCGTGTATGAATCAATCAATCAATCAATCAATCAATCAACAGTTGGCGATCCGGCCAGTTCCAAGGGTTAGGGTTAGATGGTAATTGAGCTCGTTGACCAGTGGCAGTTGAGCGAGGGAGCCAGTTAGCAGTTCCACCAGAAGGCAATTGACAGTGGAGCCAAGAAGCTGGTTTATATCGATTGGCATGGTGGAATTGTTGGTTATATATATTGATTGTGGCAGTGGAATATTGGTTAGGATCGTATATATGATGGAATATATATAGATTGATCGAGATGGCGGTTGGTAGTAGAGCCGGCAAAGGCATTGATGGTTGAGTAAAGCCAGTTGATGGTTCAGTCAGGAAGGGCATTGCCAATTAAGAGAGGAGAGCCGGTTGACGGTGGAGCGATTTGACAGTTGGCGGTTTAACCAGTTGGTGGTTCAGCCAGGCAGCCAGTTCACCGTTCATCAAGTTCATAGTTGAGCCAGGTGGCAGGTAACGGTTGTCAGTTAAGCAAGTTGACAGTTGGCGGTTTAGGCAGTTGGCAGTTAGCGGTTTCACCAGTTGACAGTTCGGTAAGTAAGTCAGGTGACAATTCAGCAAGTTGATAGTTGGCGGTTGACGGTTGACAGTTGACAGTTGAGTAGGTTGGCAGTTGGCAGTTGACAGTTGGCGGTAGGGCCAGTTGGCAGATGGCAGTTGAGCAAGTCAGCCAGTTGGCGGTTTAGCCAGTGCCAGTTGGTGGTTTAGGCAGTCGGCCAGTTGAGCAGGTTGGCAGTTGGCAGTTGGCAGTTGGCAGTTGAGCAAGTCAGCCAGTTGGCGGTTTAGCCAGTGCCAGTTGGTGGTTAAGCAAGTCAGTAATGGAGCCGGCAAAGAGGTTGAGGAAGAAAGCCAGTTGCCAGTTGCCAGTTCAGGCATGTGACAGTTGGCGGTTTAGGCAGTAACCAGTTGACAGTTTAGCCATTTGCCAGCTGGCGGTTGAGAAAGTTAACAAATGGGGTTTAATCAATTGACAGTTGGCTGTTCAATGATTTGACAGTTGGTAGTTGAGAAAATTGACAGTTGGGGGTTTAGCCAGTTGGCAGTTGAGTAAGTTGGGCAGTTGGTG